AGGTGGGATTGATGTATGTATGGGGATGAGGTGGGATGATTTTAGTGTATGGAGTGAGGTGGGATGATGTAGTGTAGGGGAGTGAGGTGGGATGATGTAGTGTATGGGAGTGAGGGAGATGATGTAGTTTTATGGGGAGTTGAGGTTTTAGGGGATGATGTAGTGTATGGGAGTGAGGTGGGATGATGTAGTGTATGGAGTGAGGTGGATATGTAGTGTATGGGAGTGAGGTGGATGATGTAGTGTATGGGAGTGAGGGGGATGATGTAGTGTATGGGAGTGAGGTGGATGTGTATGATGTAGTGTATGGGAGTGAGGTGGGATGATGTAGTGTATGGGAGTGAGGTGGGATAATGTAGTGTATGGGAGTGAGGTGGGATGATGTAGTGTATGGGAGTGAGGTGGGATGATGTAGGGTATGGGAGTGAGGTGGGATGATGTAATGTATGGGAGTGAGGTGGGATGATGTAGTGTATGGGAGTGAGGTGGGATGATGTAATGTATGGGAGTGAGGTGGGATGATGTAGTGTATGGGAGTGAGGTGGGATGATGTAGTGTATGTGAGTGAGGTGGGATGATGTGAGTGTATGGGAGTGAGGTGGGATGATGTAGTGTATGGGAGTGAGGTGGATGATGTAGTGTATGGGAGTGAGGTGGGATGATGTAGTGTATGGGAGTGAGGTGGGATAATGTAGTGTATGGGAGTGAGGTGGGATGATGTAGTGTATGGGAGTGAGGTGGGATGATGTAGTGTATGGAGTGAGGTGGATGATGTAGTGTATGGGAGTGAGGTGGATGATGTAGTGTATGGGAGTGAGGTGGATGATGTAGTGTATGGGAGTGACAGGTGGGATGATGTAGTGTTATGGGAGTGAGGTGGGATGATGTAGTGTATGGGAGTGAGGTGGGATGATGTAGTGTATGGGAGTGAGGTGGATGATGTAGGTATGGGAGTGAGGTGGGATGATGTAGTGTATGTTTGTTTGTGGGATGATGTAGTGTATGGGAGTGAGGTGGGATGATGTAGTGTATGGGAGTGAGGTGGGATGATGTAGTGTATGGGAGTGAGGTGGGATGATGTAGTGTATGGGAGTGAGGTGGGATGATGTATGTATGGGCGTGAGGTGGGATGATGTAGTGTATGGGGTGAGGTGGATGATGTAGTGTAGGGAGTGAGGTGGGATGATGTAGTGTATGGGAGTGAGGGGAGTGATGTGTGTAGGGGGATGAGGGGGGATGATGTAGGTTATGGGAGTGAGGTGGGATGATGTAGTGTAGGGAGTGAGGTGGGATGATGTGGGTTGTAGTGGAGTGAGGTGGGTTTATGTAGTGTATGGGGTGAGGTGGGATAAAGGTTGTATGGGGTGAGGTGGATGATTTTAGTTATGGGAGTGAGGTGGGTGATGTATTTGTATGGGAGGAGGTGGATGATTTTAGTGTTGGGGTGAGGTGGGATGATGTAGTGTATGGGAGTGAGGTGGGATGATGTAGTGTATGGGAGTGAGGTGGGATAATGTAGTGTATGGGAGTGAGGTGGGATGATGTAGGGTATGGGAGTGAGGTGGGAGATGTAGTTATGGGAGTGAGGGGGAAATGATGTAGTGTATGGGAGTGAGGTGGGATGATGTAGGTTGGGAGTGAGGTGGGATGTTTGTAGTGTATGGGAGTGAGGTGGGATGATGTAGTGTTGGGAGTGAGGGGGATGATGTAGTGTATGGGAGTGAGGTGGGATGATGTAGTGTATGGGAGTGAGGTGGGATGATGTAGTGTATGGGAGTGAGGGGGGAAATGATGTAGTGTATGGGAGTGAGGTGGGATGATGTAGTGTATGGAGTGAGTGGAGGATGATGTAGTGTATGGGAGTGAGGTGGATGATGTAGTGTATGGGAGTGAGGTGGGATGATGTAGTGTATGGAAGTGAGGTGGGAACGAATGTAGGTATGGAATGAGGTGGGACGAATGTAGTGTATGGAAAGTGAGGTGGACGAATGTAGTGTTGGAAGTGAAGTGGGACAATGTTAATGTATGAAGTGGAGGTGGGATGAATGAGTGTATGGTATGAGGTGATGAATGTAGTGTATGGAATGAGGTGGGACTAATGTAGTGTATGGAAGTGAAGGTGGGACGAATGTAGTTATGAAGTGAGGTGGATGAATGTAGTGTATGAAGGAGGTGGACAATGTAGTGTATGAAGTGAGGTGGACTAATGTAGTGTATGGAAGTGAGGTGGATGAATGTAGTGTATGAAGTGAGGTGGGACACAATGTAGTGATGAGAAGTGAGTGGATGAATGTAGGTATGGAAGTGAGGTGGAAGAATGTAGGTATGTAAGGAGTGGACGAAATTAAGATGGAAGTGAGGTGGGACGAATGTAGTGTAATGGAATGAGGTGGGACAATGTAGTGTATGAAGTGAGGTGGACGAATGTAGTGTATGTGGAATGAGGTGGGAATTAAATTAGTGTATGGAAGTGAGGTGGGACGAATGTAGGTGGTATGGAAGGAGGTGGACAATGTAGTGTATGAAGTGAAGTTGGACGAATTATGTATGAAGTGTGGTGGTATGAATGTAATGGTTGGAAGTGAAGTGACGAATGAGTTATGGAAGTGAGGTGGGATAATGTATGTAATGGCAGTGAGGTGGGACGAATGTATTGTAATGGAAGTGAGGTGGGATGAATGTAGTGTATGAAGTGAGGTGGAAACGAATGTATGTATGGAAGTGAGGTGGATGAATTAGTGTATGGAAGGATAGTGGGACGAAATGTAGGTATGGAATGAGGTGGGACTAATGTAGTGTATGGAAGTGAGGTGGGACCAATGTAGTGTATGGAAGTGAGTGGGACGAATGTAGTGTATGGAAGTGAGTGAATGACTGTAGTGTATGGAAGGTGATGTGGACGAATGTAGTGTATGGAAGTGAGTGGGACAATGTAGAGTTATGGAAGTGAGGAGGATGAATGTAGTGTCTGGATGAGGTGGGACGAAATGTAGTGGTATGGATAGTGAGGTGGATGAATTAGTGTTATGGAAAGTGAAGTGGACGAAAGTATGTATGGAAGTGAGGTGGGAATGAATGTATTTATGGAATGAGGTGTGACGAATGTATTGTATGGAAGTGAGGTGGAACGAATGTAGTGTATGAAGTGAGTGGGACGAATGTAAAGTGTATGAAGTAGGTGGAATTTGTAGTTTGGAATGTGGTGGGACGAATGTCGGTATGGAAGTGAGGTGGGATGAATGTATTATGGAAGTGAGGTGGATGATGTATTTTTTTTTGTGTATGAATGGAGGTGGGATGAATGTAATTTATAAGTGAGGTTGGATGAATGTAGTTATGGAAGTAGTGGATGAATGTAGTTATGGAAGTGAGGTGGGAGAATGCGTAGTGATGTAAGTGAGTGGAGCGAATGGTAGTGTAGGAAGTGAGTTGATGAATGGATGTATTAGTGAGTGGAGAATGTAGTGTTATGGAAGTGAGGTGGGGATGAATTGTATGCAGAAGTGAGGTGGAAGAATGGTATGTAATGAAGTGAGGTGGGACGAATGTAGTGTATGGAAGTGGTGGGACAATGTATGTAAGGAAGTGAGTTGGGAACGAATGTAGTGTAGGGAAAGTGAGGTGGATGAATGTATGTATGGAAGTGAGGTGGGACAATCATTTGTATATTATACTGTTTTAGTTTTTCTGTGGTGAGGTTGAGATTGTTTTTTCTAACCTTATTTGTTTCGAAATTATTGAGGTGTTACCTTGTTATGTATTTGATAAGAAGTTTAATAATACCAACAAAGTAAGTGGTGTTAAGAATTTTTGGATAATTGAAGAATGTCTTCGTACATACAGTATTATGTAAAATTCAATAACCTGTGACATTGTTTGGGTTATATTTGCATATTGGTTTATGGCTTGCAATTTTGGTGTAATAAACCACCTTACAGGAGCTGTGGGCTGTCATTACTTTTAGTTCTTATGTATAAGTTTTAGTGGCTCGGTGGGAAAGTGGAGTTCTCCTTTTGTTATAATACTGATACGTTTCATTGCATACTTGTCCTACAAGTATAACTATGTATTTGCGTTTTTCAATAAAATATAAAAAAAATAAATGTATTAAATTATAATTTCTCTAGTTAGTAGCCTACCAGTTGTAATCCTGAAGCACTATTGAATAATACTGAATCTAATGGATAATAGGACCAGGAAATTACGGTACTACTTGGTTACGAAAACCCAGTAACAGGCTGGATGCTAGAAGGGCAGTCCTTTCTAGTATTACCTGGAGATCTCTAAGCTTTTAGAATCGCGTTTTTTTGTAACAATGTTTTACTCAATCCATTTATCCTAGGTCACCTTTCAACAAAGGTGACTCCAGGTCAACTCTCAAGACTGGTTATCAGTGACCTGTGACTCACCTATCGCTTCAGGACCATGCGTGACCACCGAAGGACTGATAATCCCCGGACCATTGGTGGACTCCTGACCAATAATACTTACGCCGGATCACTAGTTCGCAGAACGATTAATCCCCGGAACCATTGGTGAGTCACAGTCAACTGATAACCGAGTCTAGTGCGCCTGAGTTGTTGAAAGTATAATACTGGTCAAGGTACTTAGTGCCATTTTTTGGGGGGGGGTGGGGTTTGTGCGTACCTTGGTCATGTAGTACGGCTTATGGCACTTGTAATGATCCTTCCATACAAAACAAAATATATCACAAGGCGCAAGAATGATGTAATGTGGAGTATAAGCTACGATTACACTCCACCATGACCGGCGGCTTCTTGTAACTCTTTGTCGAGGCCAGTACCGTGAGGGGTTTCTTCTCTGAAGTAGTTCCGAATACCTAGAGAGATCCCTCCTTTTGTTAGCCACGGTAGATTGGGGGGGTTACCAAAGTTTGCATAAGGGTTATGATTTCTTTATCACTTGCTGCACAAGGTGATGTTGCCTTTACTAACTTGCTGCACAGTGACGGTCCTATACCACTGCTTCAGCAGTTGCCTTGGTTCCTTTAACACTTGCTGCACAGGTGATGGTTCCTTTACCACTTGCTGCACAGGTGATGGTTCCTTTACCACTTGCTGCACAGGTGCTGGTTCCTTTAACCACTTGCTGCAACAGTGCTGGTTCCCTTTAGGGGGGGGTGGGAAACTTGCTGCACAGGTGATGGTTCCTTTACCACTTGCTGCACAGGTGATGGTTCCTTTACCACTTGCTGCACAGGTGATGGTTCCTTTACCACTTGCTGCACAGGTGATGGGTTCCATTAAACCCACTTTCTGCACAGAGGTCTGGTTCCTTTACAATTTGCTTCACAGTGCGGTTCCTTTACCACTTGCTGCACAGGTGCTGGTTCCTTTACCACTTGCTGCACAGGTGCTGGTTCCTTTACCACTTGCTGCACAGGTGATGGTTCCTTTACCACTTGCTGCACAGGTGATGGTTCCTTTACTTGCTGCACAGGTGATGGATCTTTACCACTTGCCTGCACATGTGATGGTCCATTACTTGCTGCACAGGAGCTGGTTCCTTACCACTTGCTGCACAGGTGACGTCTTCTCAACCACTTTGCTGTTGCCTGGTAAAAGTGCTCAGTGGCGGCAGTATTAGTTCTCGGGCGACTTTTTCCTATTTCATATCAATGAGAACTGGTTTTTTGTTTTTTATCTGAATTGAACGGAAAGAAAAAGGGAATATATCCTTCAGGATAATTTCTTTCTTTTACTTGTGGAACAGGCCTTGACACAACCATCTGTCGTAGACGACACTCTGGAAGTTCTGGGTCTGTCACAGAGTATGAAGGCGCCCCAGGGGTACATTGTAGAAGTGCGCTCCCATTGGTACCTGCGACATGGCGAAGTTGGCGGTTTTATAAGCGCCTTTAAAGTCTGCGTACTTGGCACCTTTATCCTCACCTGTGGACCTTCATTATTTTTCACAAGTTCCTACAGTTCCTGCGCACCGCTGACATTATCAAAACAAAGGTTCAGCTTCGCACCATCCATTTAAAACCTTTGCTACTTACCATTCACAAACATACTCATGAAAACGTGTGGAGTATGTAACCTCAACACTGACCAAAGGTAGATTTGGCCCTATGTAATCTATTTTCCTCCCACACCATACTTGTATTGTGCATCTTTAACCTTGAACAGAAAGCCTACGAAAAGACCTTGGGAAGACATATTAGGCTCACGCTGCGGGGCAGTAACATTGATCAACATTGAAATAATAAAAAAGGAGGTATTATAATTTTTTAACATATTACCTATTCTTTATGGTCCTCGTCATATCTCACGTCGAATTTATGTAATATTTATTCGTCTCCTACTAAGAAGGATTACGAACTTCGCGTTGCACACACTATTTTTATCGTTTAAGGAACTGTTTTTATGCTTATATCGAGCTGCCATTTGCACTGAATTACCCGTTTTAACTACGCGGGACTGCTTTTCGTTCTCTGCTTAATTGTGGAATGAGTGACTATTTAATTTTCATCTCCTTTTTTTTTTCACTGACACTTTTTCTAGCGTCACTTTCGTCGTCCGCGATGTTCATGTCCGTGTCACCGTCCGTGCAGTTGGTCCGTGTGTCATTATCACTAAAACGTAGAGTAAAATCATAACAGTTCAAGATGATAAAACCATTACTGCTTAACTCTTACAGATATTTTTCAACTGGTAATTTAAACTTTTATACGGTTATAGTTCCGCTAATAAGTTTAATATTTAACTATTAAGTTTTTACCTGGCCAGACGGAACATTAATGTTTAACAAACAAGTAGCAATATTCATCTTTGGCTCACAATATGGATGCCACTCCAACTTCTCTTCGTCCAAAATTTCCTTTATCTTAAACCATGAGAATTTTCCGCTGTCCTCTAGAAAAACTTTAATTTTTGAAGGTATAAGTTTTTCCGGGTGGCTTCCAGTTCTTATGTCACATTTAAGATGACGTTTGTCATATTCCAGTATTGCATCTGCTGCCATGTTTTTCAGGATTTATTACCTCGGGGCTTCAATTAATTCGAACCCCAAGTTAATGGTAAGACTGTCGTCCTGAAGCAACATCATTCTGCCCATATTTTTCCAAATATCTGCCCCCGTCATAGTAAATGTGCAGATATCATTAAATCCTTGTCGAACTGATAGACGGAAGTTATAAAAGCGATATTCATCCAGGATCGACCAGTCTGCCCTCTATGGCAGGAGTTGATACCGATTAGATATGAATTATAATTCCGAGTTACGCCAGCAGCAAAACACTTTTGGTGTAACTTCCTCTGAAAAATACTCCATAATAACATCATTCACACCTCGTACGTTTGTAATTAATACTCCTTATAATTCTACATATGCCATTGTTACGGAAGGAGAAATCATGTAAGATATTTACTAAGTCTTGTGCCTCGAAGATAAAACTGTGATATAGACAACTGGGAATGTAGTTACACAGGAATGTATTTTAACACTTAAGAGATGTCTATGTTGTGGGTAGTGATAGTTATGATGGTATTAATGATAGTAGTGATGGTGCTAACGATAGTGATGGTGTTAACGATAGTAGTAATTTTATTAATGATAGTAGTGATGGTATTAACGATACTAGTGATGGTATTAACGATACTAGTGATGGTGTTAACCATAGTATTGATTGGTGTTAAACCACAGTAGAGATGTGTTAACGATACTAGTGATGGTATTAACGATACAAGTGATAGTGTTAACGATAGTAGTGATGGTGTTAACGATACTAATGATGATGGTAATGACAGTAATAATGATGGTAATGACAGTAGTGATGATGATAATGAGAGTACTGATGATGGTAATGACATAGTGATGATGGTAATGACATAGTGATGATGGTAATGACATGGTGATGATGGTAATGACCGTAGTGATGATGGTAATGACATAGTGATGATGGTAATGACATAGTGATGATGGTAATGACATAGTGATGATGGTAATGACAGTAGTGATGATGATAATGAGAGTACTGATGATGGTAATGACATAGTGATGATGGTAATGACATAGTGATGATGGTAATGACATGGTGATGATGGTAATGACAGTAGTGATGATGGTAATGACATAGTGATGATGGTAATGACATAGTGATGATGGTAATGACATAGTGATGATGGTAATGACATAGTGATGATGGTAAGGACATAGCGTATGAAAATGGTAATGACATAGTGAAGAGTAAATAGACATAGTGATGAAGGTAATGACAATAGTGATTGATGGTAGGTGACATAGCGATGATGGTAATGACATAGTGATGATGGTAATGACATAGTGATGATGGTAATGACATAGTGATGATGGTAATGACATAGCGATGATGGTAATGACATAGTGATGATGGTAATGACATAGTGATGATGGTAATGACATAGTGATGATGGTAATGACATAGTGATGATGGTAATGACATAGTGATGATGGTAAGAAGTTAGTGGATGATGTAATGAGAGTATGATGATGGTAATGACCATAGTGATGAGGTAATGACCTAGTGATGATGGTAATGACATAGTGAATGATGGTAATGACGAGTGAATGATTGGTAATGGCATAGTGATGATGGTAATGACATAGTGATATGGTATGACATAGTGATGATGGTAATGACATAGTGATGATGGTAATGACATAGTGATGATGGTAATGACATAGTGATGATGGTAATGAGAGTAGTGATGATGGTAATGAGAGTAGTGATGATGGTAATGACATAGTGATGATGGTAATGACATAGTGATGATGGTAATGACATAGTGATGATGGTAATGACATAGTGATGATGGTAATGGCATAGTGATGATGGTAATGACATAGTGATGATGGTAATGGCATAGTGATGATGGTAATGACATAGTGATGATGGTAATGGCATAGTGATGATGGTAATGAGAGTAGTGATGATGGTAATGACATAGTGATGATGGTAATGGCATAGTGATGATGGTAATGACAGCAGTGATGTAATGACAGTAGTAACGATGTAATGACAGTAGTGATGATGTAATGACAGTAGTGATGATGTAATGACAGTAGTGATGATGTAATGACAGTAGTCATGATGGTAATGACAGCAGTGATGTAATGACAGTAGTAACGATGTAATGACAGTAGTGATGATGTAATGACAGTAGTGATGATGTAATGACAGTAGTCATGATGGTAATGACAGTAGTGATGTAATGACAGTAGTGATGATGTAATGACAGTAGTGATGATGTAATGACAGTAGTCATGATGGTAATGACAGTAGTGATGTAATGACAGTAGTGATGATGTAATGACAGTAGTCATGATGGAAATGACAGTAGTCATGATGGTAATGACAGTAGTCATGATGGTGATGACAGTAGTGGAGAAAATTCTCCAGTGAAGGGGGCAGTATCCCCCTCTCAGAAGGGGGTAGCCATTTCAAACGGGAGTAGCCCTCTCAAAGCGAGGGGTAGCTTTCTCATAGGTGGGTAACCCTCTCATAGATGGGTAGCCCTCTCAAAGGGGGTAGCCCTCTCAAAGGGGGGTAGCCCTCTCAAAGGGGGGTAGCCCTCTCAAATGGGGTAGTGGACTATCACTCTTCCTTGTTCCCACATCTCAAGACGAAACAGTTCAGCTGTCCGTGTTCATTAATAATGGGGAAGCCCTGAGCCCGTAGGGATTATATAGCGCATGTGCGGGGTTGAAAGTTATACGGGCTCAATTCAAGGAACTGGAGCACAGATCCAATTCCCTAGATCACGAGCCCCTCACCAGCGTCATGGAACCTGCCTTGAGGGGACATTAGCAAGCAAATACTGCAAACTGAATCCATGTTTGACTAAGGTGTCACGGGGCTCGACCTCTCTTTACGAGTATATCTGGTCTAGTGTAAGTTAGAGTGTAAGTCTGAGGGACCTTACACAAATAACTCGCACATACGAGAGGGGAGCATACGACGACACTTCGGTCCGACTTGGACCATTTACAGAGTCGTGACTGTAAATGACCGAAGTCGGACCGAAGTGTCGTGGTAAGCTCCCCTCTCCTATGTGCGGGTTATTTGTGTAGTGTTCCAGCCACAGTATTGTGACTTTTTGTTATTTATAACTGAGGGACCTGCTGGTTCCCCAGACCATTAAAAATTCGAGATAAATTACCTCCTACTTTATAATTAAGCTACAGCCGGCATCTAAAACTGAAGGAAACAGTACTCCTTCAATGAAGTCTGTTGCAAATACTGACATCGAACGTCTGTATTCCATGTCAACAGATCCTCCCTGGAGAAGTATGCAGAAGCTGGTAGCTCAGATTGGAGTAAGTATTCAACAAGTGAGCATCACAAACTCCAAGCTAAGCCGGGCCCGTGGACCGTCAAACTACGTTGAAACAGAGACGGACGCTTACACTGACAACCTCCAGGAAATGTTAGTGAACGAAATCCCTCGGTAAAGCGA